TGGAGGGCCCCTGTCCCTCCTTGGCACAGTGCACCTTGAGATTGAAGGTGGTGGTGCTGGTGGTGGTGGTGGCCGTGGAGGGAGCGGACGTTTCATTGAGTGTTTCGTGTGGCCGAGCCCTGTGCTACTGAGTTTCTTCACAAGAACCCTAGAAAGGAGACACTTCACAGATGAAGAAATCGGGCGGCGGTTAAAGGGCTCGTGGTTAAGTGACAATATGATGTCTAAGAAACACAAAAAGTGTTGTCTTTGAGTAGCTTCCAACTCAGGCAGTAGGCTAGAATTCTCCATATGGTTTGAGATCACCAATTCTTTCTTCTGCAGAGCCACGAAGTAGACTCGAACCAAATGTTAGCCGAAACAGAGCAACCTCATTGCCCTTGGGTTGATTCCAATGTACAGTGGGCCTGCAGGACAGAGCAGATCACCCCCGTAGGCTTGTGAAGCCTACGATCTGTCTGGGCACAGGCTGCCATGGCTGTCCCCTGCAGCGCCGCGGGTAGGCTCAGACTGGCAACCCCTTGGTCAGCAGCAGGCAGCATGTAACCACTGTGCCAGCAGCCACACACACACTGCTGGTGTCTCCCAGGGAAGTCGAGTTCAAAACCCAACCCCGCTCAATGACTCACATGCAACAAGTCATCCAGGAGCACCTGCTCTGCCAGGCAGTGTGCTAGGTGCTGGGGCCAGGGATGCCTTGTGGCACATACTAATGGCAACCATTGGAGACTGGCCAGTCAGGAAAGAGGACTTGAAGGGGCATTCCCCCAACCCAGCCAGGGTGGCCTAGTTACTGGACTGTTTGCTGCCGCGTCTGTCTGTCCCCAAGGGCACTGACTTGTCTCTGGCTTTTCTCCATTACAGCTCCTCGGTCCCACTACCTCGCTGACAGCGGTATGTCTGCCCTCCCTCCAGCCCCGCTGTGTCCTGGGGGAACAGAGCGGAGCCATCTGCAGCCCCCTGTGGCTGCGATGGCCAAGCAGCATGGATGTCTCTGCATGTTCTCCTTTCAGACAGGCCCTCCTATTGTTTTTGGTTAGACTGTGGCCCCGAACATTGGTTCCTGAGGTTGATTCAGAGTTGTCATGCCCAGTAACCCCGAGAGCAAGGAGGAGGGAGACAAAGTCTCTTCCACCCTGTGGGAGCCTCCCTCCTGGATGCTGAGCGTCAGCCACTAGCTTGGGCTCCAACCCCAAGGCTTTTGAGTAGAGCCATGGTTCTTGACCTTCCTGATGCCGCGACCCTTTCATACAGTTCCTCATGTGGTGGTGACCCCCAACCATTAAGTTATTTTCATTGCTACCTCATAACTGTCATTTTGCTACTGTTATGAATCATCATGTAAATATCTGATATGCAGGATGTATTTTTATTGTTACAAATTGAACATAATTAAACATACTTAAAGCATAGTGATTAATCACAAAACAATGTGTAATTAAATATTGTAAAAATGTTATGTGTTTTTCGATGGTCTTAGACAACCCTATTCAAGGGTCATTTGACCCCCAAAGGGGTTGCCACCCACAGGTGGAGAACCGCTGCTCTAGAGCCTAGGTTCCCAAACTGTATCTGGCCTGCCTCTCCTTTTGCAGAAAAGAGATTATTCGGTGGCCTTTGTACCAAGAGAGAGCATAAGGGCCTGCCTTTGCAGACTCCACTACCCTCACCCCACCCCGCCCCCACGCCCGATGGTTCCAGCCCACCTTGGGAAACACTGGTCTAGAGGCTCCTGAGGCGAGGACACAGTCGGCCTCGTAGAAGCTAGTGTGTCTGGGTCTAAGCCAGAGCAGAGGGAGCGGGGCCTCCGTGGGCTGGGAGTCTTGCTGGGGCGGAGCATCCCAAAGTGTCAAGTCTAAAGCCTGGAGAGCAAGGGGTGATGTCTGGTGATCTCGCCACCCCCTCATCACTGGGTTGGGAGTCATATTGGCCATTTGCAGTCAGCTGCCCTGAGGGCAAGGGACCTTTGGTGGAGGGCTCCCGGCGACTGCTCTGTCTCTTTCGTTTCAGATCCCCTCATCTCCAAGTCGGCTTCCCTGCCTGCCTACCGGAGAAATGGGCTGCACAGGGTAAGAGAGGCCGGCGGGAGCACTGCCCCAAGATGCCGACAGTTTCCGCGTTAGCGCTTGTTAGGGTAGTGCCTAAGGGTGAAACCTGGGCGCTTGGGTGGGCTCACTGAAAAGATGTTAGGGCAGTGACTAACCCTGCCCTCCCCCGTCCTCTGCCCTCTGCGGGCAAAGTGCTGGAGAATACGAACTTGGCAATTCCTGTGTGCCGGGCCTTGGGCTGGATGCTTAATAGGTGGGAACTCTTTTCAGTAGCCCAACCCTGGGAGGTGGTTACCCTTAGATAGTGGTCAGAGAGCACTGAACCTAAACAGAGGCCTGGAGGAAGGGAGGAGTCTCCCCAGGAGAGGATCTGTCACAAACACCGAAAGACCCTGGTGGTGCAGGGGACCGAGCCAGTGAGGAGGGGCTGGGTGAGATGAAGCTGGAGAGGGACATCATTAAGGCCATGGGCACTGGGCTTGGGCTTCCAGCAGGTGCTGCACGATCCCCCCCTGTGCACAACAGAACAAAACACCGCCCGGTCCTGGGCCCTCCTTGCCACCATGCTACAGTTGAGCCCATTGTGGCAGGCACCATGTCAGTCCATCTCTCTGCCACTGCCCCTCCACTTTACCGAGCAAGAGGTCCTCTTCCAAGGACTGGTCTTTTCTGACAACATGTCCAAAGTATATGAGATATGAAATATGCCATGGACAGCCAGGGAACAGACAACAAAGGGACCAGGGGAGGTCACAAGCTGATCAGCCACAGCCGGCTGAGGAGCATGGGCCTGGGCCTCACCACCCTGAGGCAGGACAGGCACGCATTCACAGGAGCTCACTCAGGGGCCACTGTCGGAGCCATGTTGCATTCTGGGTGCTTGGAAAGCCTCAGGGACCAAGCAGACCAGGACCTTGCCCTGTGGGGCTTATACTCGGGTACAGGAAAACAGAAAATAGACAGTTCATAGGAACTAAGTCAAGTTCTATAAAATGCTTTAAAGGTATTAAGTGCTGCAGAAAAAAATGTTGAGGGATTTTTCTCAATATTTTCTCTTTTACTATAAATCATTTTATTGGGGCTGCTACTGTTCTTATAACAATCCATGCATCAATTGTATCAAGCGCATTTGTACATAGGTTGCCAAATCATTTTAATACATTTTCTTTGTACTTGAGCCCTTGGTCTCAGCTCCCCTTTCCCCCCCCTCACCACCCATGTGCACCCTTGATAGATTATAAATTGTTTTTCTATCTTACACCGTCCACTGTCTCCCTTCACCCACATTTCTGTTGTTTGTTCCCCTCGGGGTGGGAGGTGATGGTTTATACATCGATCATTGTGATCAGTCTCCCCTTTCTCCCCCTTCCCACCCCCTTCCCTTCCCCTCATGATATTGCTACTCCCCTTACTGTTCTTGATAGCTTCAAAGGACCACCTTTTGACTTCGTTGACTTCCCCTCTGACTTTCTATTCTCAATCTCATTTGTGACTGCTCGGTTCTTTATTATTGTCTTTCTACTGCGGCTTGAGGTTAGTTTTCTCTTCTTCCCTGCCCCCCCTCATTGTACCCCCTCTACTAGTCCATGAATCTGATACTAATCCATAGTATCATAAGGTGGAAGTTTAGGGGATTGATTTGAGATCTTTCTTTTTTTTAAAGTAGGTTGTGTTCGACAGGGTTCTCTAGAGAAACAAA